ATTGTCTGCACACACACTGCTGCTCCCCACCCCCAGGTCTTGTACCCAGAATTCAGTTTAGAAGCATCAGCTCCCCTCATCTCTTCCCCTGCCTGGATCCCTAATAGGAATTAGCATCTTAAGCTAAAGGGATGAAGGATTCAGCCTCAGCCACTGGAAGAGACTTGTGGCCTCAGACCTCCCATCGTTCCTGGTGTCAGACTCTCAGACAGGGGTGGATGTGGTGAGCCCAGAGGGTGCGACAGGTGAAGAGGTGGGCCCAGGCCCCGATGCCTCCCTCACCTGTTTGGTGGCCACATCCGAGAGGTTGCGCAGGGTCCAGAGGCAGTTCTGCACGAGGCGGGGGCTGTTACTCGTGAGGTGTTTGCCCAAGGCCTGCATCCCACCTGGGGCACAAGACGGGAGTCACATCAGCCACAGGGGAGTATGGTCAGCCATTAGACAGGGCCCTCACCTGGCTCTCCCGGCCAGTGGGCCCCCCTCACTGGCCGTGACACTCACCAGCCTCCACAATGGCAGGCTTATTGCTCGGACACACGGACAGCACCTTCAGCACGCGGCTGGTGGTCCAGAGCAGCTTCTCATAACTGTAGTTACGCATGATCTGCACGAGGGCCTGGGGGCCTCCATTGGCCAGTATAATCAGCTGTGGGGGATGGGGAAGCATGAGTGTGACGAGGAACAAGGGGGGAGGCCGAGCTGACAGAACTGTCACTCCTGAGCGTCAGCTATGACATGAAACTTTGTAATTATTAAATAAGTCAAAATTTGAAAAAAGGGTAATATACAATGCTGGCAAGGATGAGGTGAAATTGGACCAGCCAACAGCACCAATCACGGGATTGTAAATAACACAATCCTGTGGGAAAGCAATCTGGCAACCTGGGGACAAGCCTAGAAATATTAAAAACCTTCAGCCCCACCTATGGAAAAAGTTTTCCACACTTTGGGAAAAGCTGTGTACCCAAAAACGTTGGTTATGCCACCGGTTTATAAGGGGAAAACCAGGCACATCTAGATGCCCTCCCTCAGACTAAAGTCAAGGCTCCACTTAATGAAATGTTATTTGCCACTGAAAGGGTGGTTTTGAGGATAATAGTGCAAAAAAAAAGATTTTAAAAACATCTATAGAGAAAAAAAAACGCAAGGTTGTACATTTGCTGTGACCACTATGTACAAATACACCCACAGAACAGCAGCTGGAAGAGGCATGTTACGGTAACAAGGGATGCATAGTATTTTTCCTCTTCTTTATCCTCAAAACATTCATTTACCTGATGAAATAAATCTATCAGCACACACACACACTTATCCTCAAGAGTTAAGGAGGTAGCCTGCAGGACGGCGGTGATGTAGTGGGGGGCTGGGGGGCTGGCCTGGGGCAGGTGCCTACTTTGCTCTCCTGATTGCCGTAAGCCAGGAGCTGCAGGCAGTCCGTGGTAATGGCCAGGAACTTGGGGTTGTTCTTGTTGAGCAGAGGCACCATCTTCTGAAGCCCGTCCGCCAGCCGCACTGCCATCTTGGCGCCCTCCTGGTACAGCAGTAAGTTGTGCAGCGTGGTGATGGCATAGAACAGGACCGACTCCACAGGGGAGCTGGAAAGGCAGGTGGAGGGCTAGTGTGAGTTGAGTTCCAGGGCCTCACATAAGCTTGGGCCACTTCCCCCAGGAAGTCTTCCCTGGTGAACCGATGCTAAATTGCCTTAGCTAAACTCTCCGGGTTCCTTGAGCTAATAACCCACTGTTATACATGGAGCACATGATGTCTCTCCCAGCTGGGACCACAACTCCTGCTGCTTCTGTGCTCCCAGCCCAGTGCTGAGTGCATAACAGGTCTTCCCTAGCATAGAAGGCCTCATGCTAGAAAGGTCCTATAAGAGTTCAAGGAGAGTAAGATCAATACCTACCCCTCCTCCACCTAGGAGAACTCATAGCCTGATATGCTGATGACGATGGAGACACATCAACATTACAAGACTGGGAAAGATAAAGGTGACAAGGGGCTTTGCAC